TCCAAACAGGCGTTACATCAAAAACAGTACACTCTTTGACGAACTCGTGTCGGCGGCCAATGCGGGCCAACACACCAAACACGTCATCGGAGGTAACGCTCCGATAATGGCCTCGCGTTTCGCCAAAGAAGGCATCGGAGAAGTGTTATTAGCGGCACAGATGTCACCACAACTCCAGAAGCTGTTGCCATCGGATGTGATGCTGAGTACCCCTCATCTGACTAAAGATGAGTTCCATTTACTGCTGGAATACCCTTTGGACGAGAACTGGGACGACAAGTACGTGAGTCCACGCGCTAATCGATTCATTGTCCACAACGACCACAAGAACCCACTTCTGGCCTCTTTGGACACCTTCTATGAGAAGACGGCGGCCTTCAGACCTGATTTAGTGATTGTGAGCGGCCTTCAAATGATGGATAACTTTCCCATTGATTTCGAAGTTCGCAGACAACGGATCCAAGTGTTGAGACAATCGTTGATTGATTTGCGAACCAATGACCCGAAAGTGCGGATTCACTTCGAAATGGCCTCCTTTTCGGAGGAGATCCTACTCAAGACTATCACCGAAACGATATTTCCAATCGTCGACAGCATTGGACTCAATGAACAAGAAGTCAACAATTTATATAATCTCTACACTTATGGCAACATATCGTTCGTCTCGGATCCCTATCCAAGAGTTGCACTCGTTTTGGACCAAATGAGACATTTGTACTCAATGTTGAACAGTGAGAGCACCGGTAGATTAACGCGAATACATGTGCACACACTTGCCTTTCAAGCAATTCTGGCTAAAAAGGGCTCAAATTGGAAGGCATTGATGGCCAGCAGTGCGAAGGCAGCCCTCACTGCACACAGACATACGGTATGCCATCAGTAGGTCTTCATAGATAACCAATTGATTTGTATTTTGTTTGCAATCCAAGTGTGGCTCAGAAGTGATTGACGTAAACAAAGCCAAACTCATTGTCGACGAGTCCTTCTCGACCACCCGTTCCGATAGTAATAAACGAAGGATTGGTTTTGACGCCAAGAATCCGGT